AACAGATGTGCAAGATGAAACACCTCCTTTATTCCTAGCCTTCTGGGATTACTGACTTTTGCCAGATGGTTTTAGAGCATGAAGCAACTGGTAATATAAGAGCTAACAGTGACAATACTGATGTGTTCCTTTCTTGTTCATGTCCCTGTCTATAACATTCCAGTTTTTTCATAGAAGGACAAAGGAGGCTATTAAGAACAGGAAGTGTATGCAGTACCTAAAGACTACTTGAGCAACACTGGAAATAATTTTTAAGAAGGTACATTTTTGTTCTGCAATGGAATTGCAGAACACAAGATCTGAAAGATCAGTCACTTCTTAAAAATACCAGGAAATGTTTACCTTTGGTAAATCAACTGTTCATGCTTTTTAAATCTGTATTATGTCCTTCCTTGGTAAGACGGCCTTTTTTTTTTTTTTTTAAAGCAAAGATTTTTAGGTCTTCAGCTTGTAGTCAGGACAATTTCTGAAACAGGATACTAAATTCCACATAGAAATTTGGGTCAAAACACAACACATTCAAATATGCATAGTAAAACACATCTGTTGAAGTTGCTTCAGATTGTGCCCTTACAGGCAAGTTTGTGTAGATTGCAAAGAGAAAATATGGTAAAACACTCCTAGAAGTCTTTTTTCCTTTTATCTACCCTGTGTCTTTAGTTCACTGAGTGCTAGATATTTTCTAGCAAAATCAAGGGAACATATGAAAGTTTTTTCTCAGAGCGTCAGCTTTCGGACTTCAAAATCTCTCTCAAAGTGAAAGAAACCATCTGTTTGAGTCATTGAAGACTCTGGAAGACAAAGCATCCAGCATACTCATGGGAATAACATTACATTATTGGCAAGGAGTAATAGAAAAAAAGCTCTATTAGGCATCTTCTTTCTTCCCATAATTAATTTGTTTGCTAAAGTATGAGTACTTTCCAGTTGACGGTGATTGTCACTTGCTAAAAAGTTAGCTATTTTTTCAGCATTCAAAACACATCACTGTGTTTTTTAAAGAGTTTTTCATGTTCCTGTTATAGATTCTTGAGATCACTCTACTGATTGCCAGCTATATTAACAACTTTCATCAGCTGAAAGGAGCTTCTCATCACCTCTCCGCTCCAGCATTAATGACACCTCAAAGTGGACAGAAACTCAAGGAAACAGGGAGTCAGCCACTTCTTGCCAACAACAGACCAACTAAATGTCCCACTTTGTTATGACAGGATTATGTATCATGATAACACATCTTTGTTGCAGGGTTTCTGTACTAATTAAAAACTTTCTGATGTACAAGACATAGAGAATAAGCACATCCAGAACCAAAAGAAAGGCGGACAGGTTTACATTTGTGTCAGTGGTTTATAACAGGAGGAGCCCTTTAATTAAAACCCTGGCCTGAACTGGAATGATGATGAGCCAATTTCAGGATTATGCTTTACCGGTGGTGGCATACACCTATAGCTCAAAAAGAAATGTGTCTGTTGATAGTGATGGGGAAAGGTGGCCTTGGGAACCATTGTAGAGACTTTGTTTTCCAGATATTTGCTCAGGGACCAAACTGTCTTCAACTCTTAACTCTTCATCTCTGTTTTTCAAAATTACACAAGATGTACAGCCTTCATTGTGAAAAGGGATTCTTGTTTAAAAGAATAGTCAAACAGTATTTTCCACTTCCAGTACTCCTCCTTATTTACAATACAAGCACCATGAGACAAAAAAATGAAGTAATTGTTTGATTTGTGTAATTATTTTTCCTTTAAAAAAACCCCCATAATCACATCATGTAACTATTATAAATTTAAAGAGTATTCTCATGATACACTCTAGCTTTTGTTATACCACTACTTTACTTGGCAAATCTTCAGCCTTGGTCTAGTAAATATCTAAATAATCCCTCTCTGCCCCAGTTTTTTAAAAAAATCTAAATTGGACAGGCACTGTATTTAGTATAGTTTAGTTATACGGGATCCTGTACCTAATTCCTTCTTTAATCCAGAATAATAATATAATACAGATGCAAGAATGACTCACAAATCAATAAACAAGAACAGCACAGAAAGCCGTTGTGAGTAAACCTGGAGACGTGTGATATCTAAAATCCATGTATAATGTGTATAATGTATATACATCAATTCAGAAAAATATTTTGTAAAAGTTTTACTTCTTGTTTTTCATTTGTATCTATACATTTTGTATTACAATACAAACATAATGTTCTTGCACACTGAAAATATAATGCTACATCTACACAATTGGACTTAGAAGCACTATCCCGTTGCCTTTTTCAGCTGCAAGCCTCAGTGGTGCTTAGGGTCAAGTATAAAGAAATTACACCCAGTTTTTCTTCCAACCCTCACATATTCATTTCTGTGCAATAAAACCACTTCAGCAGGCTCTGAAATGGATCAGCAACATACTCTTAATAGATAATTTAGGTCCAACTATAGAGAAGGTAGTCAAATATAAATCATTGATTTATATACATTTCACAATTTCCACATCCAGTTATACTAAAGATCATGGATAATTAATCTCTTCCTGCTTTTCCTCATCATTTTGATTTTTTTAATTACTTAAATTAAGTAGTTTCACTATGATGAATTTTAAAATTTGAAGGTTGAAAATCTCCTCTGCTTCATGACATTTAAACATTTCAGATATACACAAACTTATACTAAGAGAAAAGGAGTTTTCAGTTGTTTGCCCACTATGAAAGGTAGGGAGTAGTGTCCTGAAGAATTGCAACAGACTGGGAGGGAGATACAGGTTGTGAAAATAACATGCTTTTTAAAAACTGCAAGCCAGATTGGCAAGCTGACTTGATAAATATGTTTCCTTGGAAAGCTCTCAAAGTCCTGCCACAGCTACTTAAGTCTGCAGGACTTGGGCACCATTTTATGAATCGCACTATGGGCCAACGCCGTGTCTTGAAAATTCCAAGCAAATATCAAGCATACTATATCTAGATGCTTTCACATTAGCAATGCAGGAGGTCCTTTTGGATAACTTTTACCCTTTTGTGGTGGTTGTGGTGTTAGATCCTTCTCTTTCAACAAGGCCAGCAGCAGGAAGTTTATCTCTTAGTGGGCAGCTGATCTGCCATCATCAAGGAAAACAAATTGGAAGCTACAACAGACACTGGCACCATCACATCTTTTTGTGCAGCACCCCGTGTGAAGTGATGCAGATGGCGTGGTGTAATTGGGTAGGAATTAACAGCCCTTTGCAATCAGCAGAATAGTTCGCTTTCAGGTATTTGAGGGCAGGAGGGGTGTTTGCAAATTTAAACAGGCTACTGTATCAGTTATACTTGGGTCATGGTCCAAAACTTCTCAAGTATTATTAATAGAAACTTCCGTTTATAAATACAAAAATCTTCATGTCATCGTGAATTTACTGTAACTGTCAGCCTAGAATACTCCAACTAGTATTTCTTTCCTAATTGTCTAGTTTTAAATAAATGTGGCAGATCGGGTCCTATTAGAAGACAAAAAAAGTGGATTGTGTTGCTAGTGAGCTTGTTTATGTTGTTTTAAAAATCTTTGTTACATTTGGAGACAACATGATACACAGCACAAACAGCTGATGGGCAGGTCGAGACTTTTAAACAGTTCATTAACACAGCAGTACAAACAGAACTTTTATAAAGCAGTATACAAACTGTGAAGTACAGCATGACCTTCCTGCCTGCCTTTGGGTAGATAACTATCAAGAGTGAGGTTTCTGTAGTACTATAGTAACCTCCTCAAACAGACACTTCTTTTCAAGGCAACAGTCAGGAAATGAAGTCTCTTACATACACAAACACACTTCAACAGCTCAGTTTCTAAACACAGGTATGCAAGTCTCATAGGGGCTTGCTCCATGTTAATCAAGCTCCAGAGCTACTTAGAGGATACCACACACCATAAGACAGTAAAGCTGAAAATTTCAGAGTCCAGACAATCTGTTCTGCCTTTCCCACTCAGTCCCAAGCCTCATGAGAGATCCAGATCTCAACCTTGAGTCATCCACTAAAACAATTCATACCGTGCTACCTAATCCACAAGAAAAGCTCAGGTAGGAATTAGACCTTTTCCACCTTGTGATTTTCAGCAGCAATGTGATAGAAGCTATCAGAAGAGCAGTGACCTCTGGGATCAAAGAAGCTCCCATGCTCAAGGTTTGCAGAACCTAGGTTATAACAGTATTCTCAGGACGAGATTAATGTGTTAGCACATGGAAGAGACTTCACTTTCTAGCACAGACTTCATGTTTTGTCCTAGCTTTGAGCTAGCGATCAGTAACAACAATCAGTATAAATAGTCAATGAATTTGAGCTTGGAAACAACTGAAAGATCACTGGTAACTCTCTATGTAAACAACCACAGTGATTTGAAAATAATACTTGGAACGCACTGTAAATTAATCTATTACTTGAATGTCACTTTGTCAGTTTTTCTGCAGCAGTATTAGAAAGCAAACTGCTCACTTGTAAGTCACACAAGACCTATTTACCCCTGTAGTCCAGCAGGCAAATGATAAAGCTTTTAAGTTTTTTATATAATTCACAAAACTAGTGTTCTTTTCTTAATTTACATTTAAGTTTGGTTCCTATTTAAATTTAAAATAGAGGCATATACTTCTCTATAAAAGAAGGCTGGTAGGTATTTGGAGTTCCTTATCAGACTAACACAGTTTCTATAGGTTATGTCCTGAAGGAAAAAATTCATCCTTGCATAAAGGAATGCACCACTTTTAGCTTTGGGTAGAGCTTTAGGTGGAGCTTTAATAGTCCATACAACTTAGTTCAATCCATTAGTTTGAGTTAATTTTAACTAAGGTGATTATTAACTCAGTAGTAATGAATTAGGAAGAAAAAAATATTTTTTTATAGTTTCTTTTGGCAAAGGAAATAAAACTGAGCAAGATTAAACTTAAAATACTGAAAACTCTAATTTCATTGGACACCTCTCCACCATTGTAAAAATACTTTGCTTTTTAGAATTCCATTCTTGCTTTTGCAGTAATATATGCCTAGATCCTAGTGCCAGGAGCAATTCCTTACCTTAGTTTTGCTTTCTTTGGCAGAGCATTAGCAGCTTTGTCCAGGGTTTTTACCACCTCCAGCTGCTGATTACAGATCAGCATTAGCTTCATATACCAAGATACCAGAAATGTTCTGTTGAAATTGATGAAAGAAATGTGTTCAGAGTGCTGATGCACTTAGGCATCAGCATGACAGTGTAACTGTACACAGTGAAGTTTCTTTCTGGATTTTAACTAGCAACACCATGGTTTCTGTAGGGGGCTGGCAAATACTTCAGAAGATGCATGTGAAATCTGGGAAGTAAATAAAGACAGGGGGAAACAATCATCCAATCTTCTGGAACTGAAACCAATTATACTAGTGATACTTAGAAGAACCTCTTTTTTAACAAACAAGTATTAGGGTCTGTAGAAGGCTATGTAAACCTTTGGGGAAGGAACAGTTAAAATTTATTTTGAGTTAATCATTATGAATGAGGGCACTCTCCTTATCTTGATCAGACAGGCAGAGAGGATTTCACTTAGGTTTTCCAGTTTCTAGTCTCTGAAGCTACAAAGCAGCTATTCAGCTACAGGTGGTCAGTTGTAATTGTCCTGGATTTTGGGTTACTTCCCCAACGCTGAACACTTTCGACTTGTCTTTTTGGGTTCACCCACATCCTATATCCCTTTCATATGGTGGGTTATCCTGCACCCTTTAAATCCTACCTTCTAGTCTAAACCTAGCAAGATCTTTGGATTTGATCTTTGATTGACAGAGTTTGATATAATCTAGCCTTTAGATTATTTCTAAGGGTATATATTAAGATGTATATTATTTCTAAAAATATGTATTTTCTAAGATGCCTTTGTCTATTTACATTTATAACAGTGCATGCCCCAATAACGACAAAGTCATTATACTTATTTTCTCACACAGCAGTTATGAGGTGGTGGGGACTAGCTCAGGTCTTATTCTGCTGTTAAAAATCTACGTTTGGGACAATGAGTTTATTAGAAGCGTAAGGCCGAG